ATATCAGCGACAGGTATATAGAAGAATATAGAAAAAAATTCAAGTTCTTCTCAATTTAATTTTTGCTTGTAGCACCACACTGACCATTGAAGGAACAACTTGATAATTAGCTTCATTGTTTGGACTGTATATGAATCCTGACTCTGGAATACTGAGCACTACCCAGGTGCATCTACTTTTAAAAAGACATTGGCACATTGAAGAAGATTCAGCGAAGATTGAGTTTGTGATTTAAGAGGTTAAAAAGAATCGAATAATGAATAGAATCCCACTATTTGGAATTCCTCTAGACTGGAACTATGGATAACAAGGAAGATGATCCACTGATAATGTGCGAAGTGATGTGGTATATTCAACTGGGCTGGTAGATGCAAGCACAACATTAGCAAATCTTCAGCAAGTTTTTTGCATCTCCAATTCATCACCGCATGAAATAGATTCTCATTCTCATTAACTTCCCTGAAGTAAACTGGCAAAGTAGGATGCATGTGGCACAGTGATAGTGTCCCTGCCCCTAGACCATGAGGCCCGCGTTTGAGTCCCTACTTGTTCCAGAGGTGTGTAGTAACATCTCTTAACAGGTTGATTTCAAAAAAACTGAAGTAGGTGGTACCAAGAACAGAGCCTGCCTGCCCCCTTTCCTTTAATGATATAGTGACAATTTAGCTCCTGCTTATGAAACTGCGATCTGTCGGGTGGTACTACAGGAAAAGTAACTTTTCTCAAAGCAACTGAAAGATTAAAAGAACAACTCCAGTCAGCCTCTCAAACCACCCGAAGTAGTTTGCTATGGAATTAATTGACAAGCTTCTATCAACGTTTCCACAGCAAGCAGCTTCCTCCGTTGGAAATAGGCAATCACAAATTCAGTGGCTTAGATTCCAGTTTAAAAGCTCTTCTTTTAAAAAAAATCTTGCATGCAATGAGGGCAAAGTTGGCAGCTGTCACTCACTCCTCGTTGCCCTTCAATAGGTTGGCTCTTGGGTCATTTCAACAGGCAATTAAGAGTGAGCTACATTGTTATGGGTCAGGAGTCACATTTGGGCCAAATTAGATCTTTCCCTGAAGGGGCACGAAACGAACCAGATGTAGTTTTATGACAGATTTCCAAATCCCCAGAATATGAGCCTGGGGTTTTGGATCGCTAATCCACTGACATTATCACTATGCCAGTGTCATCCTCCAGTGTGTAGAGATCTTTGTTTCATTCATCCACGTGATGTGGGCATTGCCGACCAGGGCAGTGATTATTGCCCATTCCTAATTGCCCAGGTGGCAGTTGAGAGTGAGTCTGGAGTCACGTGTAGGCCAGACCAGGTAACAACAGCAGACTTCCCTCCCCACTGGATATTTTGGACCAGGTAGATTTTTAACGACAATTGACAGCGGTTACAGGGCTGCCACTACTCTCAATGGCTCTCTTTCCTGATTTTTACTGAATTACAATTTCACTACTGGCCATTGGAACTCATGCTCCCCAGAACATTGACTGGGGGTTCTGGATTGCTAGTCTAGTGACATTAGCACTACACTACCTTCCTTAGACTGATACTGAGATGGAGCTCAGCCACAAACTGTTATATATCTCACAGGAGGTACCAATGCAACCATTAGCCCATAGGATGAGTACTTGAGAGTTCAATTGAGATTGTGTTTAGCACTGCGGACTCGCAGTGCCAGGGGCCTGGGTTCGAATCCAGCCTCAGGCGACTGTCTGTGTGGAGTTTGCACATTCTCCCCATGTCAGCGTGGGTTTCCTCCGGGTGCTCCGGTTTCCTCCCACAGTCCAAAGGTGTGCAGGTTAGGGTGGATTGGCCATGCTAAATTGCTCCTAGTGTCCAGGGATTTGCAGGCTAGGTGGGTGAGCCATGGGAAATGTGGGGTTATAGGGTAGGGGGATGGGTCTGGGTGGAATGCTCTTCGGAGGGCCAGTGTGGACTCGATGGGCCGAACTGCCTGTTTCCACACCATGGGGATTCTATGAATTGATTGGAAATTCTCTGGGCTAGGAAGAATGGCAAGCAGAGGACAGGACCTTAAACAAGGCTGCAAGTATAGGCAAGTTGAGTGAAATAGCAGTTGTTTAATGACTTATTAGCCATGGTACAAAGGTTGTTTCCAACTGCAGGTACAGCTCAAAGAAACACAGTATCAGAGGCTTACCTCATGACTCCTACATCCACAGAGTGCTCTATAACCAATACTCTGCAAACCAGCTGCAGAGTGACTCTCCAATTCTCCTTGTAAAGGAATCACAGCCAACACAAACATGAGGTAAAACGGGTGTCCTTTCGCAGCTAGCATGGATCTGAGTTTTGAACGATGAAAAACGAAGACTCAACTTTGTGTTGCTATGACTATCAGGAGCCACTTAACCAGAAATGAAACGAACCCAACAGGTTCGGCAAGCTCACAAGCTTTGTCCCATTGCCACACTCACACGATTGAGCAGAACAGCCTGACAACATGGTTCCAGAGAGGACAGCTTTGTGTGTGAACTCTCCCCAGCACAATACCCTGAAACTCCCGCCTGGCCCCCATCTTACGAGGAACCGTCGGATCAGCAGGTCAGAGTTCACGGGAGGAAACCCTCCCAATGTCAAATATAAGTACATTTCTTTTTTTAAAAATAAACAGAAACAGATAACTTTGAGGCACTCTGAGTAAAGTGCTGTAATAAGAGGTGGGGCATGAAGACCTGTAGAGGCTTAAACAGTTACAGATTATTTCCTAAGGAGAACAAAATAAAAACAAAACACAACTTTAAATAGACGAAGCACTGTGCAACTAAAATGCACTTCTCCCTAATAAGCTGCTAACTCCATTGGTCCAAGAATGAATAGAGGGCTCTCAATTTAGGACCTTTCTTGAACTCTGAGATCCTAGCTCTTCAGAAGGATTTAGCCACAGTCAATTGTTTGTGGTTTTATGATGCTGCTCCCAAGGCCTGCCAGAGTGGAGTTTCTGAATGACCACAGCTTTTTGCTAGTCCACCGTAACATGGATGATAGTAAAATGTAGGGTATGTAGGGTAGTTTGATCTTAGTAGGATAATAGGTCGGCACAACATCGTGAGCCGAAGGGCTTGTACTGCGCTGTACTGTTCAATGTTCTATGTTCCACCCACTTAAGCAGGGCCTGTGAAGAAAATGAGTGTTTTCCACTGTAATGTGGTTTGGGTGTCAGATGCTGGGAATTTGAATCCAATAAAAAAATTATCTGGATTCAAGGATCTAATGATGACCATCATTGGGGAAAACACCAGACATTCACTAATGTCCTTTAGGGAAGGAAACTGCCATCCTTACCTAGTCTGGTCTACATGTGACTCCAGATCCACAGCAATGTGGTTGACTCTTACTGCCAGGACACAGCACCCCGAGGGTCATTAGGGATGGGCACCAAATGCTGGCCATGCCAGAATTCCCATACTCCACGGATGAAAACAAAACAGGCCCATTATCTATTTTCTATTTCACATTCAGGCAAGGCACAGATTCCAATCTGAATGCATTGGTATTTCCCGATAATTTAAAGGACAGAGCAGCATTAAAGTTCCATGGGGAAGTGTACAACACCCTGTGTTACTGGGCATCAGAGGCTGGGGGATTCCAATTCGGTGCGCTAGGCTGCAAAGTCTAGAATCTAGTGAAATGTAGCTCTCACTTTTAAAAATCGGGTAAGGATCGATGTTTCTGTATCACTGTCACTCCAAAACTCCTTGCTGGATGCGCAGGTTTGGTTAAAATTGCCACTCAGTGTTAGCCCTGCCAATAGAAATTTCTAGAAACAGTTCCCCATACCTGAGAGATTAACATAGCTAGCACAGGGAATGCCAGAGAAACAGAGTTGACGTTTTGAGTCTGGTATGGCTTTTTCTTCACAATAACACAACTGCTCAGCCAGAGACATTCAGTTGGGAAATCTCTTAACTGATGGTGATCTGTTGCTCCTGGACCAATACTTGGAGTGTAACACGAGGATTGTGTTAAATTCTTAGCACGTGTATCCACTTGTTGCTTCTTGAAGCCTCCAGTTGTCTGTCATATCCTACTAGGCACCTATTGTACACCCTGAGAAGGAGGGAGAACCTCAAAAAATCAAAACAAAGCATTTTGTTAACGGGTCTGTGTAACCAATTCATTCTTGGACCAGTGTGTGCTCTGCCACATAGATTACAATAGCATCTAGACTGACATAAAAGTCCAAATAGAACATATGTCAGAGTTATCCTGTTCAGACACATAGAAACTCCCACCTACTCCCATTTAGAAAGAAATCAAATACTATTTTCCTGCTTGCAAAAGAAAAAAATTGGTGGATATCCCAAAAATGTAGCTCTAAAACCTCAAACATATACTGCAGCCCCCTCGAATTTAAACTCCAATGTAAAATCAATGTCTCAAAAATAGAATCTTCAAGTCCTAAAGCCAACTGTATTTTAGGATGAAAAGACTCGTTGAAATTCTATTAAAATATTCTATAACTTAAAACTGAAATGGATTCAAGCCCTCTTCTATAATTTGATAATTCAATCTAAAGGCAAAATTCAATACAAATAAGATTTAAGTTTCTCTGTAACCCTGTCTCACACCCTACTCTAACACCACACTAAATCTTTATAAAATCAAGTCATAAAAATAATCTTTTTTTTCTCCTTAATAAATAAATCTCTCATTTTGCGTGTGTTTAATAAATCTGTGTTCCCATTGTCAACTGTTCTTCCAGCGACTGTCTCGCTGTTTGCAGGTGCCTTCAAAGGGCCATTGCACATCTAGGGTTTGTCCTGCACTTATTATTTTCTGTCAGGAGGTTAAAACTGGAATCTGAAAGTCTGCGAATGGTGAGCCGTTGGTTGATGCAGCAATTTCCAGCCAGGTTTGCAGCTGCAGATGCCTGGCTCTCCTCCGTCACCCCTCCAACCCCACTTGCACCAACCTCACCCTCCCCCACCCCTTAAAATCCTCTCCCCCACCCCCAGCCCCGACCGCCCACCCGAGTTAAGCCATTCCAAAGTGTCTCCTCTCTTCCAGCAGGCTGGCCGATCGGTTTGCTAGAGTCTCCGCGTCTTTGGCCAGTTTGTAGCCAAAGAGTTTCATGGTTGGTTCACACACCTTCTGGACCACCTCGGCGATCTTGAAGGGCAGGGTGAGCCGCCACTTCTCAAACTGCTCCGAGGAGTTCTTATGTGTCGAGTAGAGGTTGTCACTGCCAGGCGAGCTCTGGGTGTTGATGTAGATCCACTTCTTCACCTCCGAGGTGATGGGAATGCCGGCGAAGCGGTACATCTCGTGCGCTTTCTTCATGGGCTCCAAGGCGACATCCTCATACCGCATCAGCATGAAGCGGTCCTTGAGCCAGGGGGGCTGACTGAGGCCTAGCTGAGCCGACGCCCGCAGGTTCTCACAGTTGCCGCGCAGTTTGCCGAGCTCCTCGTCGTCCGGCACCACCCCCTGATCGGCCCACTTCTTCCAGGCCTCGTACTTGCTGGGGAAGGCCACCATGCGGGAGGCCAGCACGGCGCGGGGGTCGCGCACCAGCTGGATTACCCTCAGGTCAATGCGGAAGTCTTCCACCAGTGGCCTCAGGAACTCCAACTGCCTCAGCCGCACCGTTTTCATGGCAACGTGCTGCTTCTGCAGGCAGGCCTGCATCGCCAGCGTCATGTTGAGTAGGCCGCAGCGGCGCAGACGGCACGGGAAGCGCTCGCTGGAGCCCCGCTTGGGCGGTGTGCACACGGGGCCCTCACACAGCGACCGGCTAGAGCCACGCCGGAACAGGAAGGCGGTGACGTGGCGATCGGGCATGGGCAGTAGGAAGTTCTCCAGCACGTACATGTCGCACAGCATCAGCTGCTGCACCACATCGCGGTAGACGATGGATGAGGCCACCGCGTTGGCGCCCTTCGGCTCGAAGGTCACTGTCCTCTCTACGTGCCACAGGGGCTCGAACAGGTAGAAGATGTTGCTGTTCTGGTTGAAGAACTCTCCCACGAAGGACGAACCTGTCCTCGTCGTCGCCATCAGGATCAGGTGCTTCCTACCTGAAGGCTCCTGTGTGTCTTCCCACTTGATGGCAGCCTGTGGCAATACACAGTTCAGGACAGATGAGCTGGTGCTCGCAAGTAGTGAGTCATTCTCTGTCAGCACCCGGGCTGAAATGGTGTTGTTTAACCCCACAACATCCACCTGCGGGAATTTCAACGTTAACTTGTCAGAAACCCTGAGGGAGAAAAAAAAACTTGGCATCAATAGAATAAAATCGTTTGATCTTATGAATACAACTAACTGATTGTCCAGGAAGAACAGTGGGGTTGTGGGGTGAGAGGGGGGGTTCAGTTGCGTGGAAAATTAGAAAATCAAAGCTAAATATAAAATTGCAGGCTAGCGAGAGTGGCTGATTGTTACCAGAAATTAAAAGGAATGGACAGAAAGTGTAACTAGAGGGGCACAGGTTTAAGGTGAGAGGAGAAAGGTTTAAAAGGGACCTGAGAGGCAAGTCTTTTTTCATCCAGGGGGTGGTTCTTATGTGGAATGAACTGCCAGAGGAAGTGGTAGAGGTACAATTATATTTAAAAGACATTTGGACAGGTACATGGATAGGAAAAGTTTAAAAGGATGTGGAACAAACACAGGCAAATGAGACGAGCTCAGTTTTGGAAATCTGGTCAGCATCTGTTTCCGCTCTGTATACGTCTATGACTCTATGTGTGAAGGTCACATCGCACCAAGAAATCAGAACAAGTGTCGGGCAATTTGATGATGGAACAAACTTTGTATCTTTGTGCACAAAACATTTGGAATAAGGCAGATGAACTGACGGTGTAGAGCGAGGTAAATGAATATGATTTCATCGCCATTTCGGAAACATGGTTACAACATGAAAACTGCAACTTAACATTCAGGGGAAGGACGGGAGGGATGGAAAAGTGGTGAGGTAGCACGGTTAATAAGAGATGAAATGAGCACAGCTGTGAGAGTCAATTTAGGTGCAGATGATTTAGACTCCATCTGGGCAGAGGTAAGAAACAGCAAGGGAAAGAAGGCATTGCTAGACACCCAACAATAGTCAGTCTATGGGAAAGGCTACAAATCAACAAGTAATAGGAGCATGTAAAAAGAACAGTGCAATAATTATGGATAATTAATCTTCATATTGATTAGGTTAACCAAGTTGGAAAGTTAGAAACTACAATAACAAATTCATAGAGTGCATTAGGGATAGTTTCTGAGAACAATGTGGTACTCTCCAATCTGTAGGAACTGTTCCAGAATCTTGGACGATAACCACCAATGCATCGCTATTTCTTGGTCCACCAGTACTCTGGGATATAGATCACCAGGCCCTGGGAATTAATTTGCCTTCAATTCCATCAATTTCCCCAACCCTATTTCCTAAATAATATTGATTTTCTTCAATTCCTCTGTCTCACTAAATCTTGCCTTCCCTTGGTATGCTATTTATCTCTCCCTTGTAAACACAGAACCAAAGTATGTATTTAGTTGGTCAGCCATTTCTTTGTTCCCAATTTTAAATTCCACTGTTTCTCACTGTAAGGAATTTATATTTGTCTTTTACTTTTGGTTCTTGTGTTCCTCACAAGCTCGCTGTCTTACTCTACTTTCCCTTTCTTTTTGAATACTTTTGTCTTCCTTTCCTGAATTCTGAAGTGTTGCTGCTCCTCAGGTCTGTTGTATGTGTATGTCTCTTCCTTGGTTCTAATTGCAAGCCATGGTTTGGCCATCTTTCCCATTTTACTTTTGAACAAAGATTGAACAATTGTTGCAACTTGCCACTGTTACATATAGATGATGAATCATTGAGAGTGAGACAATCACGTGGTTTCATTATGTGAGCAGTAATCCAGCCCCTGTGCTTTCAAATCTGACTGTATTTGTTCGAGAATATGCAAACTGAGAGCCAAATGTCAGCAAGGAAGCTCCCCACCATCAACATCCTGGGGACAGCACTGACCAGAAACTGCCATGTGAATTCCGCACACATTAAAGATTACAGAGGCTGGATATCCTGTAGGAAAAGATCCATCTCCACACCTACCAAAGCCTTTCCAGCAGCTTCAGGGCACAAATCGGGGGTGTGACTGAACGTTCTCCACTGCAGCCATGTCTATGAATACAGATCGGATAAAGAAATCTGCCTAGCAACAGGCAATGAATACTGGCCTTGCTAATTAGGATGAAAACAAATTCTGGACACATGGGTATTCGAAATAGAATCTATTGATAGACAAGTACTAATCCTGGGACCAATTGATAGATTGGGATGACATTGAACAAAAACCAGAAAATCTTTGAAATGTGCCACAACCAATCGACTGGCATCTGAGCAAGGAAGGCTCATGCCGAGGGCGTATCTTGCACCAGGCCTTTTGGTTCGATTTGTTTTAGTCACAGTTTACTGAAACTATTTGAAACAAGACTTGTTCATTAACATCATCCTACTTCAACCAATTCCATCGTCTATAGCTCATCTGTGTGATCTATGTCAAGGGCTCAATCACTAGCAGTAGGAATGGGAAAAGGTTTCAGTTTGGATAAGAACAGGATTAGGCCATTCAGCCTCTCAATTCTGCTATACCTCTGATTTGAACAAGGTAGATCTGTACCTTAAGCCCATCAGAAATAGGAACAGGAGTAGGCTGTTCGGCCCCTTGAGCCTGCTCTGCCATTCAATCGGTTTATGTAATTTATTATTGTCACATTTACCAAAGTACAGTGCAAAATATTGTTTTGTATGCTATCCAGACAAATCATAAGTACACCAGGGTAATAGAACAGAATGTGGAATATAGCGTTACAGCTACAGAGAAGGCACAGAGAAAGATCAACTCTAATATATGAAAGCTCCGTTCATAAGCCTGATAACAGCGGGGAAGAAGCTGTTCTTGAATCTGTCGGTATGTGTTTTCAAACTTTTCTACCTTCTACCCGATGGAAGAGGGTGGAAGAGAGTATAACCGGGGTGGGAGGAGAGTCTTTCAATGATGCTGGCTGCTTTCCCGAGGCAGCGGGAAGTGTAGACAGAGTCAGTGGAAGGAAGGCTGGTTTGTGTGATGGACTGGGCTGTGTTCACAACTCTCTGTAGTTTGCTGCAGTCTTGGACAGAGCAGTTGCCATACCAAGCTGCGATGCATCCGGTTAGGATGCTTTCTATGGTGCACCTAGAAAAATTGGTAAGAATCATTGTGGACATGATGAATTTCCTTAGCCTTCTGAGGACGTAGAGGCGTGGGTGTGCTTTCTTAACTGTAGTGTCGATATGGATGGACCAGGACAGATTGTTGGTGATATTTACTAGTAAGAGCTTGAAGCTTTCAACCATCTCCACCTCAGCACGATTGATGCAGACAGGGGCGTGCCCTCCACTCTGTTTCCCAAAGTCGATGACCAGCTCCTTAATGCTGACATTATGATTCTACTCCCACACAGCACAAGTTGGGCATTGGTTGGGAAGAGGGCAGGAATGCTACCCAATCAGATCCTACCTTCTCCTCCTGGTCACTCAGTGTGAAGGTCATCACCCTGCCGTCAAATTGGTTTACTCCAGCATTTCACTTCCACCAGTTATCTTTTTGTATACGTCATTGGACTAAAATAAGGAGTTGTGTTTGGAACTCATTTCATGACCTCAGGATGTCTGAAACTACATGACGGGCAATAATGAAGGATAAATGCTGACAGCATTTTTAATGCAGTCCATGTGTGTTTACACGAGGCTGTTGACAACGTCGCACAAGGCAGACGGGGTCAAAAATTAAAAACCCAAATGATCCGAGGGACAACTGCAAGTTGGATCCAAAACTTGGCTCAGTACCAGGAAGCATTTTGTAATGGTCAACAAGGTGGTCATGTGATAGCCCACATGGGTCAGTACAAGGGCTCTTTTTTTATGTTTATTATCAATGATGAAGACTGAAACATTGGGATCCATGATTAACAATTGATCGAAACTTTGTGATTGACAGTGAGGAAGAAGGTTATGGACCACAGGGTGATTTAGTGGACACTAGGTTGGATGGTGGCTGAAAGATGGCAAATGGAGTCAGTTCAGAGCAGCTCAAACCAGGTGAAGGAATGCAGAATAAATGCTGGGATCGTAAATAGTGCAGTGTCTCTGCAGGGGAGCAGACCAGTTCCAATAAGGTGGCTATGGGAGACTTCGTTATCCGAGACATGGGGCTAAATCTTGCTGTTTTTACAAAGTGTCAACTTTGCCAAGTTTCATGAAGGATTTCTCTCTGCAAAGCCTAGCCAATCATCTCTTAGCCATATCTTCCCAGACTCACCTCACTGACTACCTACCCACCATCATGGCAAGCCCATCGTCTAACTCTAGCCTCATTCTGCCACTGTAACCTGGTAATAATTTACCACTGTCAAGATATCTTGGAATGAACCAGCATCCCCGGCACCAGTGCCATCTTTAAAAGGCCATTGTGGACCTGGACACGGTATTGTCGGTCCGAGGCTGCCCCACATGCTTCCTGACATTTGGCTCAGACGTGTCAGAGAAGGCAAGGCTGTTGCCATGCTCTGCGGGCAAGGACCTGGAAGTCATGGTGGATGGATGGGTGCAGAGGCAGGGTGTCCTCTTCCCTCAGGAGCAGCAGTGGAGGCCACAGGCAAAAAGATCTTGTCAGCCTGGTACAAGGTTGTAACCTGGGTCAGGTTGGAAATGGCCACCACTGTAGGAAGAATGCCAATGACCTTCTTCACTCCGCCAGTGTAACTGCCACCATACCTCACACTCACTCTGCCAACACGCCCACCTCCCACCAAGCCTCATGGTCTACCACTCTCCCTATTACCAGGAACATTTTCCCTCGCTCGATCCCACCCTCTGACCCTGCGTGCCCTCTGTGCTGCCCACTCACTTGCTCAGGACAACTCCCCACCTACTGCAACAGCTGTCTACCTACTTTCATCTCCTGTAATTCCTACCTCTCCCTCTTTTCCCAGCAGGAAAACAGTCCACAACAGAGCAGAAAGGCCCAAGATGGGTTGTGGGTTACCTGCTACTTAGTTGCTCACCATGTATCTGGAAAGCATCCTGACTCTAACTGCCCCAAGAGCTGAATGACCATATCCAAGCCCCTGGACTTGTTTTGGAGGCTGACCTTGACTCTGTGTGCCAGGAATCCCTGACAGAAGGCTAGCCCACATGACATGACTGAGGACTGTTTACAACCATGATAAACTTTCCTCAATTGTTTTTGTGGACAGGCACTGAGGAGTCAGGAGGTGATTTATTCACTGCAGAATTCCCACCTCTGACCTGTTTGTGTTGACACAATATTTGTACGGCTAGTCCAGTTCAGACTAAATAAAAACCGAAAGAACTGTGGATTCTGTAAATCCGGGACAAAGGCAGAAGTTGCTGGAAAAGCTCAGCAGGTCTGGCAGCATCTGTGCGGAAAAATCAGAGATAACGTTTCGGATCCGGTGAGCAGAAATGTTAATTCTGACTTTTTCTTCACAGATGCTGCCAGACCAGCTGATCTTTTCTGGCAACTTCTGTTCCTGTTCTAGTTCAGACTAACCCTACCATTACACAAGATGTAGCGTATATAAATGGATGGAAAAACGATTTACCTTGAAATGATATTGTTTTCTTTCTCAATGATCACAAGAGCAGCAACAAAAAACAGAATAATTGCATATTTGCTCCTCATTCTCATTGCTACTGGCTGTGAGTGTGCTGTCCTGGTGTGGTTATTACACAGGGAGTCCCTGTGCACCCAGGTCCTCAGTTGTCTGTCAGCGATTCTGCAATGCCAGCTTCAGTGTGAGGGAAATGCCAGTCAACCATTGGAGGCATCTGTCACATCAGCTTCTCCCACTTTCCGGTGACAGCACGCTGTACTGCAGAGTGAACACAGAGAAGCAGAGTTAGCATTCTGCCGGTGCCAGGACACTAGCTGGGCACTTACATCTAGATGCCAACACTGAAGGTTCCCGAAACACGACCTTCACCCTCTAATCCCTTCATCCAGCCACACACCGTGATTGGTTACTCGATGCACATCTGGCCCTCCCTGCCAGTCACCCAGCCATCGATCATTTCCCAACACCTCGTCATCGCCAGATAATGATTGACCGGCTATTCCAGAAAAAAAGTTTTCTTCCCCAGTTCCTGGAGCTTATCGGTGACAAGGTCTCAGCCCCAGAAAGGGATGCAGGCATTTAAAAAAAAACTAAATGCTGTTTTTCCCTTCATTCCCCACCCCCCACCACCGACCCCACCCTGTCGTGATTTGCAGCAGTTGCTCAAGGAGACTTTAAATCTTTAATTCCTGCAGACACAAGGCCAAAATTAGAGGGTTGGCAGCTATGTCCATTCTCATGTTTAAAAGCTCTTTCCTTCTCTCTTCTGTCTATTTAATTATAAAATTACAGCAGCACTGTACTTGCCAAAACAAGCTGGATCAAGATCAACTGTGATCGACTGGTAGAATTCACAAAGAAGTTAATGGCAGTCTTTTGATTGTAATTCCTCATCCCCCCACCATGCTGGGTGATGCAGTGGCTCAGTGGTTAGCATTGCTGCCTCACAGCACCAGGGAGCTGGGTTCGATCCCACCCGTGGGCGACTGTCTGTGTGGAGTTTGCACATTCTCCCCGTGTCTGCGTGGGTTTCCTCCGGGTGCTCCGGTTTCCTCCCACAGTTCACAAGTGGGAGGTTAGGGTAGATTGCCCAAAGTGTCCAGGGGTATGCAGGCTAGGTGGATTAGCCATGGCAAATGTGGAGTTACAAGGATAGGGGATAGGGGATGGGGGTTGGTCTGGGTAGGTTGCTCTTCAGCAGGGCAGTGTGGACTCAATGGGCCGAATGGCCTGCTTCCACAGTGCAGAGATTCTGTGCTGTTGTCGCACACTGAGACTAAGGAAAGCAAAACCTTAATTAAAAAGAAACATTGCCTGGATAGTCGCTTCTCTTCCTGAAGTATCTCAGGGAAACTTCCAGAAAGTGCTCAGTCAGAAACTGTCTGAGCATCAGGCAAGACATGGAGCACTCTGGTATGGCCTTGGCTCTACGCTGAATGTAGTTTGGATCTCACTTTGGGTAACTGCTGTAATTTCTGGATTGGGAGGTTTCCCTCTACCCATGAGTGACTTCGATCTGACCACAACAGGTTACTTCAACCCTATAGTACATCCCACACTTTGTGGTCAGTACCTCCCTCTTGCACAGACGGACTCTCTTCTCAGACTTACACATGACTGCTGATGTCCCTGTTACATCGTGATACAAAGCACAATCTCTTTATGATAATGATTAACCGATGATTTTATGACATTTCTATAAATGAGCCTTGCGACTGTCTGTGTGGAGTTTGCACATTCTCCGCATGTCTGCGTGGGTTTCCTCCGGGTGCTCCCGTTTCCTCCCACAGTCCGCAAGTGCACAGGTTAGGGTGGATTGGCCATGATAGATTGCCCATTTGCAGGCCAAAGTGATCCCATTAGGTTTAGTAACTTGACTATAAAATGCCAGATTCCTGAGTACACTTAATTATACACTACAATGTTGTGAGGTTTTGTGAAATGCTCTTTAATCTGCTCTCTCAAGTTGTTCCCATTACAAAACGCTTCAATTTAGTAAAAACAGCAAATTGCAGCAGAAATGGAGGGTTTGAGACATAAAAATAGACTGGAAAGACTGAATAGACAGGAACAGCACCTCATATTTCACTTGGGAACCCTGCAGCCCAATGGTGTCAATGTGGACTTCACAAGCTTCAAAATCTCCCCTCCCCCTACCGCATCGCAAAACCAGCCCAGCTCGTCTCCACCTCCCTAACCTGTCCTTCCTCCCACCTATCCCCTCCTCCCACCTCAAGCCTCATCCTCACCTCAATGATCTGTCCGTCTTCCCTTGACTGACCTATCCCCTCCCTAACTCTCCACCTACACTCACCTTTACTGGCTCCATCCCCGCCTCCTTGACCTGTCCGTCTCCTCTCCACCCACCTGCTCCTTTATCCATCTTTCATCTGCCTCCCCCTCTCTCTCCATTTATTTCAGAATCCCCTTCCCCTCCCCCATTTCTGAAGAAGGGTCCAGACCCGAAAGGCCTGCTCCTCTGATGTTGCTTGGCCTGCTGTGTTCATCCAGCTCTACATCTTGCTATCTCTGGAAAGACTGCGACTTTTTTTACTAGAGCGTAGGAGGTTGAGGGATGACCTCACAGAGGTTTATAAAATCACGAGGGGCATAGATAAGGCGAGAGCAAGGGTCTTTTCCCTAGGTGAGGAAGGGGGTGTATTTTTAAGATAAGAGAAGAAAGATTTAAAAAGGACATGAGGGGCAAATTTTTTACACAGAGAGTGGTTTGTACGTGGAATGAACTGCCAGAGGAAGTGGTGGATGAGGGTACAGTTACAACGTTCAAAAGACATTTGGATAAGTTCATGAATAGGAAAGGTTTGGAGGGATATGGGCCAAGCACAGGCAGTTGGGACTAGTTTAGTTTGGCAACATGAGCAGCATGGACTGGTTGGACCGAAAGGTCTGTTTCTGTGCTGTACGACTCTATGACTCTATAAATGATACGTTTCTCCTTAAATCTTGGTATTTATTTCAGATTTTTAACATCCGCAGTATTTTGCTTTTAATCAATTTATACAGCGCAGTTTAACAGAATAAAACACCAAGAAACTCAAGAGTGCTCCCAAATAGAGGTTTTAATTTTTTTGTCGAACATACTCTGAAGAATGCAATTCAAAATTTGGAAGAAGGATCTACGAATGGATATATTGATTTAAAGACCTGGCTTCATCCATCATAAATTCTAAAGTAGCGATGTTTGCCGATAATTGCACAATGTTCAGCACTATTCACGACTCCTCAGATACTGAAACAGTCCATGTCCAAATGCAACAAGATATAGACAATATCCAGGCTTGGGCTGACAAGTGGAAAGTAATATTCGCACCACATAAATCCCAGGCAATGACCATCTCTGATAAGAGACAATGTAGTCACTGTCCCTTGACATGAAATGGTGTTACTATCACTGAATCCCTCACTATCAACATCCTGGGGGTTACCATCAACCAGAAATTCAACTGGACTCACCACATAACTACAATGGCTACAAGTGCAGGTCAGGAATACTGTGGCGAGTAACTCATCTCCTGACTCCCCAGAACCTGTCCACCATCTGCAAGGCACAAGTCAGGAGTGTGACTCCCCACTTGCCTGGATGAGTGCCGCCCCAACAACACTCAAGAAGCTTGACACCATCCAGGATGAAAGGTTCACTGGCATCACATCACATCACCCACCATTGATGCTCAATAGCAGCTAATAATCCACTGTCTACAAGATGTACTGCAGAAATTAACTAAAGATCCTTAGATAGCACCTTCCATACCTACAATCTCTACCCTCTAGAAGGACAAGGACAGCAGATACAGCACAGAATCCAAGTTCCCCTCCAAGCCACTCACCATCCTGACTTGGAAATATATCGCTGTTCCTTCAGTGTCGCTGGGTCAAAATCCAAGAATTCCCCCTCTAAGGGCATTGATGCTCAACCAACAGTACTTGGGCTGCAGTGGTTCAAGAAGGCAGCTCACCACCACCTTCTCTAGGGCACCTACAGATAAGTAAAAAACACTGACCCAGCCAGCGACGCCCATTCCTCACGAAAGAATTTTAAAAACCCTCTCCTTAGCCTCTGGAGCACTCTTTCCGACCCACTGCCCAGTTCTCCTTCCTTGTCCCATTGCGAGGGATGGAACCTGAAATTGACTGAAACTCCTTCGAGAAACATCGCTGGGCCTTTGGGCAAGACTCTTGGAGACCAAGGGGGTGTAGGAACCAAGGTGGACAAGTGCCCAAGCTGGCAGCATCATCCAGTATAACTGGTTTGCCAACACCATCCCACTGCCCCACAAATGGTAGGAAAGCCAAGTTAGAGGTGGGACAACCAATTGTCAACAAGCAGCAGATAATCGAGTTCACAAGAGGTTGCTTAATGTTCCTTTCCAGAGCTAACTGTAATTTTCCAGGCAGGCCCCAAGCAGAGGGAGGGGCACCTTTCACTGCACTGGAACCCCACCCTTGCACCCACCTTCAGAAGGTGCTTCCATCATCAGGCTCAGAGGAAGGCATGGCCCACATCAGCCCGTGGAGGGGGGAGCGGCGGGGTGTTGTAGATGTTGGGGGAGGCTATGTTTCTCAGGCAGGGCGGGGGTCATCACTGGAGAGATGCCGACTGAGCCTCCTGTTTCAAGAACACAACGTTCTTAATTGGGAGGGTGGGTGCCCTATGGCCAATATATTTAATCAGCCAGGGAGTCAGGGTTATGGGGACAAGGCAGAAAAAGTGGAGCTGAGGATGCTCAGACCGGCCATGATCTCACTGAATGGCGCAGCAAACCTGATGGGCTGACTGGCCTTACGGTCAACAACTGGCCAAGGCACAGAATTAACCAATAGGAAGGGTTTAGAAGGATATGGGACTAAGTCAGATTGGGATATCTGGTCGGTGCAGATGTGTTGGATTGAAGGATCTGCTACTGTGCTCCACGACTCTATGACTGCACCTGGCATCATGCAGGGGTCAGGCCCCCGGTTAGAACATAAGAATATAGAACAGTACAACACAGTACAGGCCCTTCAGCCCACAATGTTGTGTCGACCTATTATCTTACTCTAAGATCAAACCACCCTGCATACCCTACATTTTACTATCATCCAAGTGCCTATCCAAGAGTCGCTTAAATGTCTCTTATGTATCTGACTCTACTACCACCGCTGGCAGTGCATTCCACGCACCCACCACTCTCTGTGTAAAGAACCTA